GTCCCACATCCTAGCTAAGGCGTTCTCTCGTTGTGGGTTGCTCGTTTCGGCTCTAAATCGCCAAATCTTCAACTTTCCTAAAACCTTAAATCGAAGTATTCCGACTTAGTTTTTGTTGAAACTCGTATAAAAAATGAATATTAGTTATTTTTAATGTGTTTTATGTTGTTTTGTGATGGTTTTGCGATTTAACTATTTTGTTAGTTTTATCCGGACTATGATATTAGTGTGCTAAAGAAATTAGTAAAAATAGAGAAATTATTATTAGTTGTTAAAAAAAAATGTTAATAAGTTACTTTTTACTGTGGTATATGTATTTTCTTAAATGTTTTGTGATTAAATTTATTTGTTGTTTTTATCTGGTTTAGATTATTTATTTGCTTAAAGACTAGTAAAATAGACAAATTGTTACTTTAATTCCCTCTAGTGGTATCTTGTGGCCTAATGTAGTGCTTATATTTGTAATGTAGTGCCCTTTAGCGTAGTATCCTTGTAGTTATTGAAATTAATCATTTAAGTATCTATTATACCCAAAAATACATCAAAATAGTTGATAGTTCAAACACATACTCTGTCCAATTCTAGTCAACGATCGTAAGAAAATAACATGAGAAAACAACAAAAATTCAGGATATCTTGGTGCTACTAGGCCTCAAATATCGAGCCCGGAACCCATATGTGAATATTTAATAATTAAATCTTGTATAATTATAAAAATAAATTATTTAATTTTATTATAGTAAATAATAAGTAAGTCATAAATAAAAATATATAATAATAAAACTAACATATAAATTAATAAAACTACTAACATATAAATAATAAACTAACATTTAAAATAACAGACAGGTTGAGTGATAAATCGAGAAATTTTTTTCTATCATGAACACAATGATTTCTGTCATTGCCTCCAAACCTGTATAGACACATCCGGTATTTGCGCCCAACATTACCATCGGACCAACATGCCTTCATAATCGTACGTTTGCCACAATAGCACCTTGGTTGGTCATTGCGTCCAGACATTTGTTAATGCAAGAAAAATAAAAAATGTATGGAAAGTTTTGCTATTTGTTTTGGTTAAGCGCATGTAATAACTAAAATGCGCTAGTTATTTATAGGTAAGACAACACACATAATGTAGTATTTAACCGTACTATGCTTCGCGTGTTAAAGATTCTTTCGGGTACAATACAACTTTTTTAGAAGATAGCTTTTTGCAGGCGAGCAACCTTTTCAGGTCGACAAGACAACACACATAACGTAGTATTTAACCACGCTATGCTTCGCGTGTTAAAGATTCTTTCGGGTACAATACAACTTTTCCAGAAGATAGCTTTTGCAGGCGAGCAACTTTTTCAGGTCGACAAGACAATTATTTAAAAAAAAAAGATTTATGTAAGATTGTTGTACTGAAGTATTAATGTTAAATATCAATAAGATTTAACAGCAATGGAAACATAATTTTATTTCATACATTCTGCAAGATAACCAAGTACATACACTTATTACAACCACATTACGGAAATAAAACACTATGTGTATCCTTGATAGTTGGGCACATTAGATGAACTTCCACCAGGAGCTGGATTACCACCGCCACCCAAACCAGCTGAAGGACATTTATGACAGCCGTGTCCTATTTGCGAGCATATGCCACATTTGCGCACATAAACGGTATCACCAACATCCATTTGGTTCCGTATACACGTTCTTTTTTGCACTTGTCGCTGACACAAAAACTCCTTGTTACACACCATTTTAAATGGTTCCGGCGGCTAATGATGCTCAGCACCCACTGGCTGCAACTGCCCAATATAGGTGTTTAAGTATGCAACAACACTATATTTTTTATCAACGTAGTTGGTTGGCTCTAAACCTGTATGTTGAAAGTACTTGATGGCATATGAGCATGACATGTGGTAGATGGACCATTTTTCACAAGAGCATAACCTTCTGGATTCATTTATGATGTGTGTATTATTCCTCTAGTTGTCATGGATAGCGCTGCGAATTTCAAAAATATTTCGCTCGTTGCAATACTTCAAAAATGAATGCCAATGTGCTCGCTTCCTGTATTTCTCAAACCATGATCCAACACACCAGAACTACGCATATTCTAACTGGGCGTTGGTTCATAATTTGTAAAATTTATATCTGGCCGGTACCCACTGTGAAATATATGAATGTTAATATAAATTTAATACAACAAAAATAAACATCGCAACACAAAGGAAAATTGAAGTTTACCACTCGTCTTGTGGATCATGTAAACTAGGAGATAAATTATTTTCTCACTCCTCATTCGCCCATAGAGATAAGTTTAGATCAGGCCAAACTCTTTCAGCCGGAACCTATTCGGCTAAAACTGCTCCAAAATAATCACCCGATGACTGAGGGATATCCCTGCTTTGCGCAACCTCATTATTGCGAACGTCTTCAGCCTTGATGTACATTTCCAATATTTTTATCAAAAGAAATTCCCGGTATTCATCAGGAGTCCTCAAAATATCACTCAGAGTTTCATTATCCTCGATGTTAAACTTAGCATAACAACCAACCCCTTGCAGAGTGACAAAATACGGATATCTTCCGGTTACTTTAAGGTTCACCGAATATTTGCTCACACTCATTTTTTTACATAACAACGATACAAGTCAATCATACTCCATTGTAAGTGGAAACTTAACATGACACTGTGGAGATAAACTATAGCTTACTGAGTTATTCGCCACCACAACCTCACCCCCCAATATAATGAAACCCTATTTTTTTGATCTTCAGACATTATGACAAAATGCAAAACAACTTAACGAAGAAAAATTTAACAAAACTTGAGAATTTTTCTAAAGTGATTTTGCAAAATCCTTAACGTATTTAAATAAAGCAATGCCCAATCCGGGGGGTCGAATATTTTGAGATATAGCTCCTTAAATAAGGGCTCTATACTCATTTGAATTATTGTTATGTAGTTAAGCGCAAAATAATTATTGGTGGGCCCACAAAATATGTATATCGCCTTAATAAACGGTGCTATAGTTACCCGTCTTTTCATATTCACGTATAACGCCCTTTTAAAGGGCGCTATACCTTAACGGGAAAATGACCGTTAAGGTATAACGCCCTTTAAAAGGGCGCTATGTGTATTTTGGTCACTAAGTTATTTTTCCATCTATTTTTGTGTCTTGAGTCCAAAAACTCATTATTTTGGTTCCAGACTCTTCTTTGATATACCCAAAACTAACAGAAACATATCGTAAAGTGCGGGATATAAAGAACACAACAATTTTTATGTCAAAAACCTCATCGCTCAAGGGAGTAAAAAGTACGACCTACCCTTGTAGGATTTGCCTTCAAAACTTCACCAACTCTAAAGAGCGGTTTTAGGTTACAACTCCAACCAAGGAAACTAACTCTGGTACCCTAACCCCTACAATCAACTCAATT